AAAATATGCTCAACCAAACTTTCAGGAATTGTTGGACCATTTTTTTTCTTTTGCCATGTGGTCTCAGTCTTTTGGGAAGTCTTATGCTCCTCTATAGACTGCTTTGAAAAGAGATGAACCAAAAAGGTCTGCAAAAAGTTTTTGATGCATTTGTGCACCTGTGGAAGACTTAAATGAGTTTACCAGAGGAATTCTGTTTTTTAATTGGTTTTCTGTTTCAGGAGCTGAACTGTAGATATTGTATAACAAAAGCTTTAAAGCCGTTTTTCACATTTTCATAGTTCATATTTTTTTATTACTTAACCAAAAGCAAGCGGGCAAAGCAAGCAAGCAAGAAAGAATGAATGAAAAAGAGTGGTTTTGAATGATTTCATGATTTTTTTTATCTTTTCTCTCACTTTCTTCTACTCAAAGTCAAAATGAATTAACCGGGAGTTAGCAAATATTATTTGTAATTCTACCCTAGTGCTAATTTTATAATTCCATTAGCATCTTCACTCTAATGATAGTTATATCTAGCAATTGTGAAAAATCTTTATTTTTTCTATTCTGTTGTTTCCCCTGAGTGATTAGCTATCTTTTCTTTGACTTTTACACCTGTTGTTTCAAGGATTCATGCTAAAGATGCTTATTGTTGAACCATGAAGGCATGGCAAGAAGTAGAGACAGAACTGAGGATTTTAAGGACACTGTTCGCTCTATAGCTCTTTCTCTAGGATATAATGAGGTTTGTTACTACTGTGAAAACCATATTTTTTTGGGTGTGTTTCTGTGGTTGGAATGACTTGCAACTTTAAGAGATGCAAATTTGTCAGTTATACTGAATTTATTTATTTTAGATCTATGTACATGGCATTTTCTTTTTTTGTTTTTTTTCAATATTATGCAGATGATACATATTTAGAGATATGCTTTCTCTTGTTTTGTAGAAAAAAGAGTGTTAGAATAGATACAAGGAAATTAGATGGCCTGAAGGCTGTCACTCATCACATAAACTGAGCCACAAAAAAGAGGAAAGAGCTACCTTAATCTGGTAGGGAAGGGCCCCGGTGAGAACTGCTCACCACAGGGGCTTCTTCGAGGGAGCCATGTCCTCCTGAATAAACAGAGAGAGAAAAGAGATAATTTTGAGGGAAACCGACCTACAAGGGGGTGAGTGTTCCCATGTAGCTTCCTCCCATGGCAAGTGGGTCCATTCTACTAGTACCTCCTGGACTAATGTGTTTCCTGCACATACCCAGTGCTGGTTAAGGAGTGCCTTGGGCTGGCCTTCTTCAGTAAATTGATGCTGGGTCTGACTGACAGTAGCTATGGGTGGGAGGGCCTTCTTCAGAAGTGAAATGTGAAAGACAGGGTGCAGGAAGTGTCTGGTAGCTTTAGTTGATTGGCAACTGCCCCTATACACTCAGTGATGCAAAATGGGCCAAAATACTTCAGGGAAAACATCTGCCACATTCTTTTGGCTATGGATAATTGGGGATAGGACTGGAGTTTCGGGTAAACCCAGTCGCCAACCTGGAACTCCAAGTGTCAGTGATGCTTGTCATAATGGGCCTTCATCAGTTGTTGATCAGCTGTTCATTCACTTTAGCCACCACCGTGGATCCCTTCTCATAGGGTAGGATGGGTGGAGGGTTCCACCCATATAAAGCCTGAAATGGAGTCATCCTTGTGGAAACATGATAGGTAGAGTAGTACCATAGATTGGCCCAAGGTAGTGAACATGCCCACTGCCTCAGTTTCTCTCTTGCAAAACATCTTGATATCTCTCCAAGCAACGGTTAACAACCTATGTCTGACCATCAGTTTGTGGGTGATAGGCTGGTGGAATGTAAGAGCTTACTGCCTTGGGCCTTGAAGCATCCAGTCCAAAAGCCACTCATAAAGGTGGGGTCCCCGGTTTGAGAGGATGGACTGGGGAGTGCCATGCAACCGTGTCACCTTCTGTATAAAGTGTCTTGCTACCAGGGCTGCAATAAATGGATGGGATAAAGCCACAAAGTAGCTATATTTGGTAAGTTGGTCTACGATGACCATGATGACAGATTCCCTCGTAGAGATTGGCAGACCAGTGATGAAGTCCAAACTCTCCTCATTCCAAACCTTGTCTGGTATAGGTAAGGGTTGCAATAATCTGGCAGGTTTTTGAGAGTCGTTTGTATTTCTGGCAAATTGTACATTGAGCAACCCAATCCTGGAACATCTTTCTCATACCCAGCCAATAGAAATGGGAAGATAGCCATTTGTAGGTTCTGAGGATACCAGAATGTCCTCCGGTTGCTGATCATGGAAGAGTTGGATGAGCTGATTTAATACTGGTGAGGAGGCAGGTGACACAAATCTACCCTTGTAGAGGGGATTTTGTCACGCCTAGTAGATTAGGAGGGAAAATCCAATATTGAGATTAGGAGGAGTCGGGTTATTGAGGACCAGCAGGAAATAGTTGAAGAAATTTGCAAATTCTATGGGAATCTTTTTAAAGCCATGCCTAGTAGATTTTATCACTTAGGGGAGCTGGATTTTCCGCAACTAGATGGGGAGCTGAAAGCATGGTTAGAAAGAGATTTTGAGGAAGATGAAGTGTTGAATGTGAAAATGAAAGAAGATAGGTGCCTGGACCAGATTGATTCAATATTGCTTTCTATAAGATGTCTTGGAATATCACAAAAAAGGATCTACTTGAGATGTTTAGGGAACTTTGGATGAAGAGGAAAATTGAAATGTTTGCAAATGCTACCTTCATTGCTTTGATTCCAAAGGTTGTAGGTGCAGCCAGGGTGAAGGATTTTAGGTTCTTGAGCTTACCTTCCATCCTCATCATCCTTGACATAGTTAGGTCGGTAAAAGCTTGCAATTATATCTCTGGAGCCTCTTCCTCGTCTTCTGAGTTGATATCGGCTTGTTGTTCGAGATCAGTTGGCTCATCTTCTTCGTCATCCATGTACAAGACAGCTTCTTACATTTATTGGGAGAGAACTTCTCGTCACAGTTGTAGCTGAGCCCACACTTTCTATGGGCCTGCATCTTTAACCAACTTAGCTTCTTTAGGCATTCAATGGAAGTTGGGATCTGGCTTGATTGGCTTTGCGCCCACTCATTTTAGGTATGATTAAGGTGGTGATTTGAGGATGGGTTCATGCTACTGCTAGTCTCTTCAATCAATTAAATCGTTCTTCTTGTAATCGGACCAGGCTTGCAACAGCCATAACCGTGGCCGGTTGCAACGCGCTGATTTCTAACCAAGTGCCCTCCTGGAGCCCTCCAAAACGGCTGATGAGTGCCTTCTCTGACTAGTTGAAAACGTAAGAGGCTAACTTCTCAAACTTGTTTTGATACTCTTTCACCGAACCATGCTACCGTAGCTTCGAGAGTTACTCATTGAAATCCTCATAGTTGGACAGGCCAAATTTAGAACATAGAGCTTCTAAGCAATCTGATGACGACAATTGGGGATGAGTTCGATGATACCATTAGTACCAAAATATCGCCTAATTTGCCTCCCCTTCCATATGGACAGTAGCAACTGCAACTCGTTGGTGGTCAAGGATGTCATTGTATTTGAAGAATCACTTGGCCTTGAAAATTCATGAGACGGGGTTGTCTTTGGAGAAGAGGGGGAAACCCAATTTTGCTTAATAGAAGGGATTCTCATTTGCCTTCGATTAATGCCTTGGGTTGGCCTTTTGTCATTGATGCTCATACTAGTTGGACATTGCTGTAATGGCCTTCTTTATCTCTTGTACCTTTCCAGTAACCTTCTGTAACTCTCCTTCAATCTTTGTTACCCGTTCATCCACTGCTTCTGACATGGTTGTCAAGATGATGCCTAGGCAATAAGGCATTCTTGGAGGGTCGCCTTGCCCAAACACCTACATATTTATATTTAAGGCACCACATAGTATTTTTATATTTTTATTTTATTTTATTAATAGGAGTACAATACATATTATTAGACTAAATTATTCATATTGTGGGTTTGTAGCATTAATATTATTATTCTTATGCTAGTTTTTTTTCTATTATTTTCCTTATTTGTTCGGGTTCAATTGATACAGAGGTCAGTGACATAGTCTTGAACCCTTTAGGACTTTAAAACCTGAATTGATAAGTAAGAAATAACTTGAAGATTTTATATAATTGACACACAAGAACAATCAATAGGACTTCATCATCTTTTGCTTCTTCCTAGGACCAAAACAAGGGCTTAACCCCTATGCTTTGTATGTTTACTTTCCTTTATTATTTTTCTTCTGATAATTATGTTGATTTTCTATCTTTTGATATGGGGTTTATACTTATTTCATGAGGATTATGGTAATTACTAGTTAAAGATTACTGCTTGTTATTATGAAGCCTAGGGAACTATCCTAGGATTTATATTTCTATATATATATATATATATATATTTAATTTTAAAATACTCATCACCTAGGCAACTGGGTGACATGGCGCTGCTGACCTAGTCACTGGCATTGGTGAACACTGATGGCTCTGAAATCAATTTGGTGAGAACTACTCACCACAGGGGCTTCTTTGATGAAACCCTTTCCTCCTGAACAAACAGAGAGAGAGAAGTAAGATAATTGAGGGAATCTGAGCTACCCAATTATTATTGAGGACTTCCTTATATAGGCTGTTGCAACCAGATTTGAAGGGCCCTTGGTATCGTAAGTAACTTGATTGATGTGGCCTAAAGATTTTAACATATTTGATAGGCGGTTTAAGGCCTTGGGCATCATTTGGTCCTGGCTGGTGTGTAGTGGAATAGTGGGCTGGGCCTTTCTGTATGGGCTGAGCCTTATTAGGCCCAAATACAACTAATTCCTGGAAACACTGCTTTCAGGTAAGTAATCCACTATGCTATTAGCAAATCTCCAAATCCTTGGAACTAGATAGTCTTTCTTGCAGCTAATGGCCTGGCTTCCCTGATACAGTGCCAATAAACCCAATGAGTCTCACCTCCCTCTCATCCAACTCATCACTACCTAAGAGTCACTGGGCTTCCATCTACTCTAGGATAACCAAGAGGAGAAGATATTCTTGTTGTTATTCAAGTTAATTGTTGCTTTCATCTTTTCCTTCTCAGAATCTTGGTAATGTGGTTTGAAAGATTTTTGTCGTATATCAAACAGAGTCAACTTACAATCATGAATCATTAAAATGTCTTTGTTCTCTCATATAGCCTGCCATGGCATGTATGCCATTGTGAAACAGACATGTGGGTTTGGACGCTTGGGTCTAAGTAAATTCAATATTCTGAGATATTACTAACAAAAATTGGATTTTATTAAATTAATAAATAGCACTATGTGCACTATTTATTTGTTATCCTTCTTACACATTATATTAGCTTTTCAAATATGACTTTTCTAACCAATGGTGGAGACACTTGATTTCCTATTTTGAACTACTTGGGAACTTTCCAGAATAATTATCAGATTAAACTATTTGTGAAGTAGTGATACAATTATACAAACAGTGTAAAAATGTTTATTGGTTGTCTTCTTTTCCCCTAAAATGCTTACAGTAATTTTCCTATAAATATATTTGGGATAAATAGGTTTGTCTGTTTTGATTTTAATTATTTACTTATTACTTATCCAAGAGGAATTACTAAACCAGTGTTGCCATATTGTGGATTTGACTTTTGACAGTCAAAAACGGCAGCTACATTGGCATCTTTCATTATGCATAAACCTCGCCAAAGATCAACTTTCACCAAAGCTGCACTTAGAACGGTATGTGCATGATTTAAAACTGTTATCTCAACTTGTTTTACATTTCATTGATATTAACTTTACTTTTATAGTTGATGCGTCATACTGGAAATCCTGGTTCAGCTTGCCATTTAAAAAGGTCTATTGTTATTTCTTTTTAAAGAAGGTAAAGTAATTTTATTGCCATTTAGGATAAATTAACAACAACGAACAATCGGTAGGGGCTCCAAGCACACAGTGACAGTATTCCCCCAACTATCAAAATACTTAAACAAAGTTGATTACAAAAAAGCGGGAAAAGATACCCTTTACCCTCTAATGAGACTGATTTTTAAAAATTTCCATGCAGATGAATTCTGGAAATTCTTGTCAACCAAGACCCAGGATCCCACCCTCCCCACCACCTTTCTAACCAGCTCAGAATATCGCTGCTGGAATAGTAGATTACACAACTCTTTCTTTATTAGATAAAGCATTCACTGACCAAGCACCGAGTAAATCTTTATGGAGTAAGGTTGAGTGAGACTAGCTCAGCTTTATGGCTGAGAGGAAATGAATATAGAGTTCCAGACTTTATGGTACGGTGAACGAAAATCTAATCTGTAGTCTCCACTACATTACACAGGCTGTATTTTGGGGGTCTGATTTTCACCCTTCTTCTGATTAATTTATGTTAACAGTTAAAGGAACTCATGGTAGGAATCTGTGTAATACTAATTTTTTTTTTTTGATATGTTAGCTCGAAAGCATCAAAACTTTGGAACAGTTCATCATGAAGCACTGGAAGGATTATGTGGATCCACATCGCGCCACTGAACAAGAAAGGGATAGTATTGAGCATGAAGTATGTTAATATAGTACCTATTCTTCTCATTTGTATCGGACCATATCCATATTGAAATTTCCATTCAAAGGCTGGTTTAATTTATCTTTTACTAATAAGTCATCACTGCTTATTTTTCAAGACAAGATTACATATTTTTTTTTCTTATAAGCACTACATATTTGTTTCTAAATGCTCATTTTCTGTAGGTTAGTGTCTTCATAAAAACATGCAAAGAACAGATAGATATTCTCAAAAATAGGATACATGATGAAGATACAAGTGGGAAGTCAAAGGCATGGCTTAGCATGCGGAGTGATAATTCTCATGTTGATATTGTAGCCCACAAACATGGTGTGGTATGGTTATGGCCTCTCTTGAATGTGCTCTTTTGGCATCTTTTAACTTGTGAATGTTCAATTTATAGAATCTATTACTATCTTGATTAATTTGGTCAACTCGTTTTCCTTCATTTGCAAATGCCTTAGTGGATATGCATTGGTAAGTAGTAGAAATGTAGTGCAAAGATATATGTTCTTCATTGTTATTGGTAATTTTCTTTTTCATTCTTTTATTGAAAACTTTCTTTTTTCAAATTGGTGCATTTCAAATTGATGCCTGCATACAAAAAGAGGGATATAGACACCTGTATGCCCTTTACAAAATGCATAACCATATAAGCTCATTTTTTCTGTGATTTTATGCAAATTAGTTAAAAATGTAATAGGAGGAAGAATAGATTGCCAAAAGACAATGGCACATCAACCTTCTTTGATTGGTTTCATCAATCTTCCCTTCCAGCTGATCCATGGTAATAGGTGCCTTTTTTATTTTATTCTTCTTTATTTCATACCATGTAAACCTGTGGAGAATAAAATAATAATAGTGGAGGGAAAAAATCTTTCATGGAAATAAAAGAGAGAGAAAAGGATTATGTCATGGCTCCATGTCATTCATAGGTCCCACTGTAGCAGTTGGATGCATGAAGTAGTTTCTTTGTGATGCAGTTGTATTAGATCCACTTTGCACCTTTAGCTGTCAAGTTTTGCAGATTCACCACTTCTGGAAATTTGGAAGAATAAAAATATGCCTTTGAGCCATCCTTAGATGATAATCTTAGTCATCATTAAGTTGCCGTTGAGGTTCTTTATTAGTTTATTTTCTTTTTTTGAGTTTATTAACTGGGGATATAATTGCATGGTAGTTGGTATCTAAGGAGTACACATCTTTAAGGAATTCTAGTCAGTTTTAAGAGTTCGAAGATGTAGGTTCTCATTTTAGATATGTATCCTAAACTTTTGAAGGAGGCAAATGAAATATAGATTGATGAGCAATATTTTCTTTGTTGTTTGGTGCAGACTCTAAACATTCTTCAGGATGCCAACTCCCTAACTCCCTCAAGCTATTAGGTGCCAAATCCTTGGTTATCCAATTTCCTTCCTCCTCCCCCCTTTTATTTCTACGGATCTGTTTTATTTATAGTTTGTAAAATTGTCATTATCTGAACACATCAGATATACAGTTCAATATCATGAGCATATTTGTCAAATTTGGATCAGTTGTACAAACCACAGCCCTTGTCAGATCTTTCTTTTTCCTGCTTCCTCTGTTTTTGCTTGTATTTTGGGCTGTTGTTTCTGAAGCTGTTGTAATTTGCTCATTGCTTTGAGCCTTTCTCTTGTATCTCTTGTTTATTTCTCTCTTTAATGAAAGTTTCTATTGATTATCAAAAATAAAAAAATTTTAATCATTCATAAAATCAGGATGCTCAATGGTCACTGGTTTAATCAGTAATTTATTTGTTCACCCCATGAAAGTTGTCTGAAATTTAGGACACAGAAAACCCCCTGGGTCACATGTTTACCAGCTTGACTGTCTTATGTGATTTGAGTTTGATAACACTTTGATTCTTGTCCTACTTCATTGTTCATGTCAATTATTTGTGGTCCAGGGTGGTGGCCATATATTATTTGTTAAATAGAGAAAGTTCTTTCCCAGAGTACCCATTCATGTTCACTTTTGGATTAAGGGGTGCTTAGCTGCTTGCCATATGGTTATTGAAGCAGTAGTGCTCTTATCCTTCAATTCCTTCCCTCAACATGCTCCTTTGAAAAATGTGTCAATTTGGTTTATATTTGCAATATTGCTTACTTAAGTAATTCCATTGTGTGTTACTCATATATGTACCAATAGTCTCTCCAGCACCTGTAAGAAGTGATCTATTGCAAGTTGAAGGGGCTAGAAGGGTTAGGGACAGACCAAAAAGGGCATAGGTTGAAGTAGTAAGAAATGATTAGAGTGCCAATAATTAACAATGGATATAGCTCTAAACAGAATGGAATGGCAAAACAGGATTTGTGTACCCGGCTCCATATAGTTGGGATAAGGCTTAGATGAAGGTGGTGGTGGTAGTGTTGGTGAATTATCTATACATCACGGCTTGCTTTCCTTTAATACATTCACTTTTTAATGAAAAAGAATAAGGATGTTTGATTTGTAACCTTATGTACCTTGGATGAGGTCTTACTGTGGGAAAATAAAAAAAGAAAAGAAACATCACCTAGCACTTGAAACTTACACTGATAAATTTTAATGTCAGTTTCAAGGAAAGCATGTTTGAGTACCTTTTCCTAGTTCATTTGCTGAGTTTTCATTTATACTACATTTTCTCTTGACAGTTAATTTGGTAAACTTCAGGTTTTGATTTTAAGTGAGAAACTTCATTCGGTCACGTCTCAATTTGACCAACTAAGGGCCATACGCTTCCAGGATGCTGTTAATAAAGCAATACCTAGACGAAAAATGCACCAGGTTACCAATTCAAATTCACCAATTATCTCCAAATCTAATCATTCAGAGGTCAAGGAGCCAGATGAGCTCCCATCTGAACATCTAAGAGTTCAGCAGCAATTCTTGGATGATGAAACGCGTGCTCTTCAGGTAATTGTAATATTTGTCTTCTGAGGGTTAAAGTTTTCTTTATTCTGGTCATTCCTTTTATGTAAATTGCTTGCTCTACTTTTGCAGGTGGAGTTGACTAATCTTTTAGATACTGTTCAAGAAACTGAAACTAAAATGGTGGAGATGTCCGCATTGAATCATCTGATGGCCACACATGTTCTTCAACAGGCTCAACAGATAGAGCTTCTGTATGAACAAGTCAGTAGCTGTTTGCTTATTCATAGGATTAACTTATTTGTCTACATTTTCTGCCATAAATTTACTGATTTTCACTGAGGGAAAATCAAAATATACTACCAAATATTTAAAGAAAATATCTTGTATGTAAAACCATTAGTTGTATAAAACAAGCCAAATGAAGTTGGTTTGGAAGAGAAACACTCCATTAAAGGTGCTGAAACAGCTTCAAATTCAAATCTGAATTTTCTATGAATTTTCTTTTGGAAAAATCATAACAAATCACAGAAGTTTTGCATGGCTGTAAAACCTATACCAAAAAATCCCTAAATTCAGGGAGATTTGAACCATATCAGTTCAAGGATGGTTGCCGCCACTCACACTAACTACTGACATCATCTGGCAGTGTTCTGATGACAGTAGGTTGGCTCTAGGGTAACGAACACCAGTAGAAGTCTACCCTGAATCCAGATGTTGCTCCGATACCAAGTCGACTAATGTGAAGCCAAAAGAAAAAGAGAGGGAAAAGAAGAGAAGAAGGGAAAAGAAGAGAAGAAGAAGAGAGTTTGAATGGTGTGTCTCAATTATTGTTTCACACCAAAGACAAATCTTTTATGTTTTGCTGAAAAGTACAAGTTTGCCTTACTTGGGCACCCAAATACAAAAGAAGAAAAAACCAAAAATACCTTACAACATTTGCATATTCTCAACAATTCCAAAGAAATGGCCACAGATGTACGAGGGAACAAGATTGAGGATGGTGTCTGACCCTATTTCATCATAGCCACTCCAAATCTCCTTTGAGAATGAGGGTTTTGGAGGCACTCTTGTTGTACCTCCACCTGCTCAGAACACTGATGCTCTAAGTACTAGTGTGCTCCCTACATTTGATGTTCCTGCTTCTGTTTCTGACCTTGACCTCCCTATAGCCCTATAAAAGGAAAATAAATACATATCATCTTCTTCTACTGCTCATAGTGTGTCCTCTTATATGTCTTATGGTCAGTTATCTCTTGGAAATGTCTCTTTTTTGGCCTCCATTTCATTTGTTCCTATTCCCAAGTCTATAACTGAGGCTATGAAATTACCTAAGTGAAGAGAAGCTATGCAAACTGAGATGAATGCTCTAGTGAAGAATGAGATGTGGGAGGTGCTGAATTACCTAGAGGAAAGGCTTCTGTTGGTTGCAAATAGGTGTTCACAATGAATATAAGTTAGATGGAAGTATTGAAAGGTATAAGGCCTGGTTGGTAGCAAAGGGTTACACAGACTTATGGGCTTGATAATGAAGAAACTTTTTCACTAGTTGCATAGATGCCATCTACATGTGTTCTACTATCATTAGCTGCTCATTTTGATTGGCTATTATGATAGTTTGATGTGAAATATGCCTTTTTGAATGGTGATCTAAATGAGATGTATATGATGGTTACCACTGGGATTTTATCCTGAGAAGCAAGGCTGTAGGGTTTGTAGATTCAGGAAGGCATTGTATCACCTGAAACAGTCACCTTATGCATGGTTTGACAGGTTCAGAAAGGCATTACAGAGAATTGGTTTTGAGCAATCCCTGTCAAATTATACTCTGTTCATGAAGAACGGAGAGCTGATTATTGTATACATTGGTGATATTTTGGTGACAAGTAGTGATATAGGTGGAATTGCATAGCTTAAGTAGTTCATAGCCTCAAAATTTGAAATCAAGGATTTGGGGGAACTGTGGTACTTTCTTGGAATTGAGGTAGCTAGATCTAAACATGACATCTATATCTCTTAAAAGAAGTATGTGCTAGACTTAAGGGCACGGGGAAGTTGGGAGTAAAGCTAGTAGGTACACATATTGAGCCTTGACATAAGACTTGTGCTACGAAGGGGAGCTCCTTGAGGACCATGCCATGTATTGAAGACTTGTAGGGAGACTTCCTATCTTTGTATGACTCATTCAGATATCTTGTATGCAATTAGTGTTGTAAGCCAGTACATGCATACTCCTCGTACATCACATATGGCAGTAGTGGAGAGGGTCTTTGCTTGTCTGAAGGCTAGTCCTGGCAAGGGTATTTTGTATAAGAGGCATGAGTGCATGACCATCTGAAGGTGGGAATTCTACACTAATGTTGACTGGATTGAATCTCTAGATGACAGGAAATCTATTTCAGGATATTGTGCTTTTGTGGGTTGAAATATGGTATCTTAGAAGAGAAAGAAACAAAATGTGGTGGCTGGGTCTAATGCTGAGGGAGGTGGAATACTATGCTATGGCTCATATTTTATCAGAGGTTTTATGGTTGAGGTCTTTATTGGAGGAATTAGGTGTTCCTGTTCAGTTACCATTGTTGTTATATCGTGATAAGAAGGCTGTAATTAATATTGCTCATAACCCTATTCACCAAACGTATAGAAGTTAATCAACACATTATATAGGAGAAGGTTGTGCCTGGTGATGTTTGTATACCTTTTGTGAAATAAAATCTACAGCAATGTTTTAAAATAGCAGAGTCATGATGTGAGGCATTCCACTACCTGGAGACGTGAGCCATAGTTCAGAATGGAAGAGGTGTAAGCTTCCAGAGTACAAGGAGGGGTAAGCCTCCTTAAGAGGAGGGTGATGAGAAGGAAGTGGAGGAGAAAGAAGAGGAAGGAGGATTTTTTATTTACTTTTTAATAAAGATGTTTTATATTAGGGAAAATTCCACTTTAGTACCCTGAACTTTGGGGGTAGTGTCAAGTTAGTACTCAAACTTCAAACGTGTAACTGCAGTACCCAAGCTTTCAAAAAGTGTCAAGTTGATCCAAAACTGTTAACCAACGTTTAGTATCATATAAAAGGACAAAAATGCCCTTCACCTATCATCTAATTTTCACTGTTTGGCCCACCTCTATTCAGAATGGGAAGGAGGGAGGGCAAAAATGAGTGGTTGCCTTTGATTCCCTTTCTGACCCAGGGTGCATAATTTTAGGGCAAAAATGAGTGGTTGTTGAATCCTTGCAAATCTGAATTTTCAAAGGTTACTGTTCATTTTCCTCAAGCTCTTGAAACTCTGAATAGCAGCAACGATCTCCTATCTGGTCTTCCGGGAGCGGCAAGCTTCTTCCCAATCCCCCTCTCTTACTCTCTTTCTCCCATTCGTTTTTCTCTTCCCTCGACATTCTTCATCTCTTCCATTTCGATTTATCGCCGCTGCAACTCCTAGCAGTGGTGGTTTTCTCAGTTTTGGTCATCCCCCTCTCATTTCCTCATTTTTCTGCATCTCTCATCCTCTCATTTTACTCCCTCTAATATTTCTCATCATTTGGTACCTTGACTCCCTCTCTGCACAGTTGATCATCAGTAAAGCTACCATCACCGCAGCAATGTCCATCAATGGTGGTTCATTTATCTTCTTCTCCTCCATCGCTCTGTCTTCAGAATGATGACACCCCAGCTCGCCCTTGATTCCCGCATATGCAGCAAGGCCTAGGTTATCAACAAAAACTCCCCAGTTCGCCCCTGTTTCTTGATTCCTCCACTGGACTGACGCCCTGCTTACCGCTCTCCTCCATCATTCTGTCATCAGAACGATGACGCCCCAGCTCGTCCTTGATTCTGACATACTTAGCAAGGCCTAGGTTATCAACAAAAACGCCCCAGCTTGCCCCTGTTTCTTGATTCCTCCACCGGACTGATGCCCTGCTTACCGTACATTGAACTAGGCTGTATTCTAGATGTTATTTCTTGGGGATTTCTCTTCTCTGAATCAGCACACTAACATCAGCGTCTAAGGCTGTGAACTTCAACCTGAGTTCGCTGGCTCTGGCTCGGAAATCCATTTCCAGTAACTGTTGGTGTGTAAGAATCGATTTCCCAATTCTGAGATCGTTAGTGCCGATGCAGAGAGACTCAGAGAAGATAAAGGCTGTGAACTAGGCTGTATTCTAGATGTTATTTCCTGGGGATTTCTCTTCTCTGAATCAGCACACTAACGTCGGCGTCTAAGGCTGTGAACTTCAACCTGAGTTCGCTGGCTCTGGCTCGAAAATCCATTTCCAGTAACTGTTGGTGTCTAAGAATCGATTTCCCAATTCTGAGATCATTAGTGCCGACGCAGAGAGAAGATAAAGGTGTATGAGAGCTACTGTGAGGCAAGCATCTGAATCGACAGTTGAAATTGCGGATAACTGGTTTAAGTACAACCTCTGTTCTCTCACCAAGTCAATCCAACTGTGGCTCAGTGTTATTATGGTTCAGTCTTAAGGTAGAAGACAATGAACAGTGTTTTATTTTCAAGGGTTGTTTTGACATTTTGAAAAATTTTAAGTTGCACATGTCATCACATGATAAGATAACTGTCGGACTGTTAATGGTAGGGACCAACTTGACATTTACTTTAAGTTTGAGTACTTCAATGACACGTTTGAAAGTTCGGGTACTAACTTGACACTACCCTCAAAATTCAGGATACTAGAGTGGAATTTTTCCTTTAAATTAAGAAGAATGAAGATGCATAACACTAGTTGAACAATGAATATGCCCAAACTTTCATTCCCTTCCCTTCCCTTTCCTTTTCTTTCTTTACTCATATTTTCTTTTCTTTTCCTTTATTTTTCTCTCTTTTTTTGTCTTTTTTATGTGAGGTGCATGAGGTGTACACCTCTAGCACACTCTGTGAAAAGGAGTATGAGGCATACGCCTTAGAGGCATCAATGCATCTGGCATATGCCTTAGGGCATTTTGTGGGGTGCCTCTCTTGGAGGTGTGCCTCCAGGAATATGCTGCCCACACCTTTTAAAACACTAATCAATAACGGGCAGACATTTTCACAAAGGGAGTTCCTAAAGCTTTGATGCAGGTCACACTGAGCAAGCTGGGCATAACTGATATCTATGCTCAACTTGACCCGGGGGAGGGAGTGTAGAAAAGAGTATTGACACACTATTTTGGGGTTTTCTGGGCCTATTATGACTGTTACTCTATTGTTTATGTTTGTCTTTTCTTATTATTGGGATTGGGCCTTATTATTTTTATTTTTTTCTTATAGTTT